GATATCTTGTCTGATTACAATCTTTAGAGTATACATCAAAGAGCCAATTTTCCTGCAAAACACCAATTAATTCACTCTCATTTGGAGAGAAAATAACTGTTATTTATGAGTTTGGAGTTATTCGCGAGATTATGTGCGGTCCTGACAAATTTCCCGGAGACAGGCGCCGCTTATGTTTCACTTATTTGGCGAGAGTATATCAAGTTGAATAATTGCCATTATTTACGGATCCAAGGTATAAATGTAGAGGTGTTTTATAACCATTAGGATCAAGTCGTAAGCTTTTTTTGTAATTAAAATAAAATATAATTCTTCACCCCATAATGTAGGTAGGTACTGTACTGTACTGTACTGTACTTTCTTGTATTTTAGAAGAAATACACATCACCAAAGTATCATTTCAATTACATAATAGAAATAATATTTCATTCCAAAGATCCGCTACATAGCAATCGAACAAACGAACTAGAATAATAAAACAAATCCTTCAATTGAAGTGCGCCAATAGTACCCATTCAAACAAAATAAAACCACGTGAAACGCATACTACTCCACAAAATACTTATTTTTAGTATCGCATAGGTAACAAACGAACTTAACATTAAAGACCTGTTTAGTAATTCAGAGCTGACTAAACAAGAAGCAAGGTTGAACCAATCAAAGTCATCAGTAGAATGTAAGAAACAGAGATTGACTTGGTGAACACAAAAAACTTCTCAGTAACAGATTATTTAGATACATTTCACATAGATAATTTATTACGCAATATGTTCCACTAGTCTATTTTCTTGCTGTTGTAAAAACTTTTATTATGGACCATCCAAATGGAACACGGTGGAAAACTATTTATTTTTCATTGGAAACATAAAAATCTTTACGACATTTTAAGCATCATCTCCACTCTGGAACTACATAACGTTAGTCTCTTAGTTTTAAGTTTTATTTTGTTGTCGGATCAGCAAGGATTTTAGTGCATGTCACATCTATTATGTCTCATTTAATTGCTCGTGTTTCTTAGAAAGTATCAACTGTGGTAGAGAAATTGTCTGTTAGAGATACGAGCTGTAAAAATTGGACATTAACGTCTGAGATCTGTTTATTGACATGAAAATTGCCTCCACTGATTAGTACTTGGGCATTTGTCTCGGGCATTAATGAGTACAATGTTTTGAGAGGGGAAGAGATATATGAATACTCGATCTAATCTTTTGGTGATAAGGTTTAAAATACTGGAGATCTAAAATGATATTATTATGAAATAACAAAACTATTTTTTTTCACATCATTTACAAAATGCCATAACAAAAGACTAATCTAATTATTCGAGTACTTACGGAACTTAATACCGAAGCCAGCTGATGTAATAGTTAAGAATGCTTAAGTATATATTGAAATAGTTTTACATCTATGTTTTTATAATAACTGTCGTGAGACATACTATATTAACTAAAAATCGCGGATTATTCACGTAGCGGCCGCGACCGCGCACGCTGGTCAGGAATAACCCCTCTGTGGTTCGAAACTTTTCTCAGTGTTTTCACGTGAGTAGCCCGAGATTTTTAGTTAGTTTTATATCTGACATTCAAACATCACAGAAAACATAATAATAACGATAATCGTTAATATCAAACTATCCACAACTGTACACAATTTTCTCATTACAAATTATTATCACGAAACTAAAAGCAAAGTCACCATCCATGCCAAGATTAATAAATAAAATTAATATGAAACTTTGAAATGAGTAGAAATGTATACGAAGAGTGCTTTCTTGGTTGTCATAACATTTGCTGAATACTAATTGCGGGGCAACCGTCTCCAAGGTTGGGTAAGGACGTCACGACAAGATGGCGTCGGCTCACGATTTTCCCAACACGATAGAAATTCAAAGGGCGTGCGATGACCATACAAGGGCTGGTAGGGCGGAAAACTTTACTACTGGAAAAGAATTGAGACCTGGTTTGTGTATTGCATAAGCACTTGACTGTGTAAAGGAAAGGAGATAAGAATCGTATTTAACAATGGAGTTTGTGTTGAATTCAAAAGAGACATTGTGACAATTGGTAAAAGTTTGATATAGGATAAAACAGAACATATAAATGACTGAAAACTTAATGATGAGGAAAAAGCTGTTCAATAAGGTTCTGAGAAGATTCATTACATTGATGTTCACCAGAAATTGCTATAACAACCTGTTGTGTTTGTATACATAAAACATAAATTATATCTACACAGTCAGGAAAATTAATTTAGAAGATTTATTAGAGTATTATGTTCCAATTTCCAGATTTTGAGGAAAAATAAATTCTATTACTTGACCAACCCTATTGTAAGTGCGAGAGGATGCGTATACGCAGTTGTCTTCCATCGTGGTGGCAGCACTGTCGCAAAGGCGCCGACATCCGTCGCAGGCGCACGTAATTTGTATGCAATACGAAATCATATCGATTTACCATAGCATCGTTTACGCGGGATCAAAGGATTTTTTTCATCTTCAAAGAATACAAAGATCCTTGTAACTTGTAAATTCCTCTCATGAGAACATGGAATGGTTGTTAAGATTCACATTTACATGTTTTGAAGGAAAATTTCGTTACAAAAAATGCGAAAAACAAATAAATTGTTAAGAGGATGCAATAATTTTTCAATAATATACTATATCGATAAAAAAAGCGACGCTCAAGGCAACGTCTGACGATAAGTATATTGAATAAAAAGCTCTAAATCTATCCCAAAACTAATATTATTATGATTGATCTAGATAAAAACTCAAAATATTTATTTAGGTTAACGTTGGAAAAAATATTCGCGGAATATCATCAATGTACACAAATCTATTTGGATTCAGATAGTGGTGGGGAAATATTTGATGTGGCATAAAAAATAAAGGTAGACAGAGATACCTGTGTATTTGTGTTGAAGATAAAAGTGATGAAGCAGGATAGAGGGGACCAGAATTGAAGATACGTGCAAAAGCTTTTTAAAGTGAAATTACACTAAAGATAAATTGCGATGAGGTTAGAGAAATGATACACCAAACAGTGTTAAGTTTTTTCAAAGAAAATAAGACATGTATACTTTAAATATTTAACTTTTAAATAAGTAACAGTCTCGTATTTCGACTGGGTCACACACAGAATAAAGCATGCTCAGTAGACCACGTGACAAAGCACTAAAAATAATTAAAATCCCAAACAAACATACTTGCAGACACATCTAATGAAGACCTCATCAACTCTCATAAAAATAATCCATAACATCCATCCTCTCAAGACCCTAAAAATCACAACAAATTAAACAAATTATCATCCCTCAATCAATTTGATGTACCAGGGCACCATAACTACACAGGACGTTAGATTAAATAGATCAGAACGACCAGCTTAAGCCAACCTCCGACCAAACGGACGTTGGTCCAACGAGACATAATCATGAAGATACGAAAAGAGAGCAAAGGGCTCTAATTTAACTGGTTATTAAAGTAATTAGGCATCCGGTGCTTCTAATGAGAACCAAATGAGAGGGTTGGGGAGGGAACAATCGATTTGTGACCGTGAAGTAATAACTTCTTCCGTTGCTGTGGTAATTTGTGATATGAAGATGATGAACTATGTCAAAGAGATAATTTGGAAAGAATATTAGCTAAAAATATAATGTATGAGTCAACTAATAATAATATTCCTAAAAAAACATTAATAAACGTTGCCTAACCAAGAATAGGTATGGTTTAGAATATCGAGAAATCAGCTAAAACTGTACCTACTTATCCTGACTAATATTATAAATTGGACAGTGAGTTTGTTTGTTTGTTCCGCTTTCACGCCGTAACTACTAAACCGATTGCTTTGAATTTTTGCAGACGTAAAGTTAGAAGTCCGGATTAAATAATAGGGTACTTTTTATCTCGGAAAAATTTGATATTCCCGAGGGAAAACAAACGTATTGGTATAGATGGCGCTGTGTGTATTGGTATATGAAACATAGGCTACTTTTTTGTCGCGAGCGAAGCCGCAGGTAAAAGCTAGTATGTCATAATTTGACTTTCCTACCAAACCAATATCGATTATGAAATAAAATTTGAATATCGTTGGCACAGCTAATGTACTCGATGCCTATCAAGCGAAGCAATGAGTTTAACAATATAATTCTCGACATGGCGCCTAAACCTCCTTTGAATAATAAATCGGACAAAAGAAATCATTTCCGATTGCCAAAAATAACGTTCATATAGGCCTTACAATTGATTTCGGTATTCGATTCGTATTCGTAAAGCGAATCGATTAGAATTTTAAATTCTCTGTATCCCATCCCAAATTTTTGTTAATATGAATGGATTTTGAATACGAAATTTTGGTTTTAACGCTAAGAAGTCTTTAAGCATTCATCGCATGTTTTTCTGGTCCTATTGTTAGTGTTTTAAGTTTAAGACATTTGTTACAAGACTAGCCGTTTGTACTTCCTATGAGTATTTGGCAATTGAGGTTTTAAATGATAAAGGAGTTTGAATCATAATACCTAAAGACGTATAGAGGAAGTTATATATAGTAATACATCCTTTACGAACGTTTCTTGCTAATCCTTCATTACTATACAGCTTTATTGAATCCTGAAGACAATGGTTCTGTACTACTCTTTAAAATTCAACAGCTTGTTGAATAAAAATTTCTATAATTGTTATTATCTTTGATAGTCTTTCTAGGTAAAGATAGACAAGAAGTACTTGTTGTGTTTAATTCAAGGAATTCGTATGTATTTCTTTTTCAATTTATTTTATTGTGTTTTGTTGTAAAGTACAAAGGCCGACTTTATCAAACTTGGCTTGAAATTCGTAAATTATTTCATTTCAAAATCAGGGTCGTCAGATTCTCACTTTATGGAATTATCTCAGAGATTTCTATGTTACCAGAATAAAAAGAAAAATCTCACAAAATGATCAATTTTTCAATGGTAATATTCTGTAAAATGTTCTTGTAAGAACAGTAAATAAAAAAACAACTTACCCAAAACAATATCTTTGGCTGTAGCGAGACACACTGTTGTCAGTAGGAAGATGACCGCGATTGGCATTTCGCGCCAAAACGCAATGGCGGCGAGACTCATGTTTCACCGACAAGCTCAACTCCTCTTATTGGGATCCATTAGTTTCTGGAACAAGGAAAGAGGAAAATTAATCAACATACATGAGTTCACAACAGTATTTTAAGTTGTAAATATTTAGTAATTAATCGACTGTAACTGAAATAATAAAGTTCAACGAATGATATGAAAAAAGTACATAACAATATTTCCAAAAAAAGAAACAAAATACTCCTTTCCCTCAATTTGAGAGAGTCCTTTTCACCGCGTATGTAATAAATCTCCAAACTTTACCAAGAATTTTGGAACATACCTTAAGTAACCCAATACAATTTGACTCATCCTGGGAATCATACTCGATAATAAATAACAAAAGACACTTTTTATACAATTTGCAACCTTTTTATGTCAGAAGCCATTTACTTATTTATTGAATTAAGGTCTCCAACAAAGAATAACTTAGAACACACGAGTAATATATTATAAAAAATATTACAAAAAATATTACAAAAAATAAAAACTATGTACTTCAATATCATGCAAAAAAATACATAAAACTGAAATCTTGAATGGAAGGATTATGTCAATATCTATAAATAAAAAAAAAATAAAAAAAATTAAATTAAAAGTTAAAAATTCAAATTAAAAATAAGCCATGAAGGCGACTAGCTATTTATTTTGCTCCACAATTCCCACAGCAAACCTAGCCATATTATTCCACAAGATCAGACCAAAAGCATGCTGAATGGAATGGAACATCTGTAAGACCTAAAAATAGTGTTGCTAACATTCATCGACAATAAAGCGCAGGCGCACGGCATTGGTAGCGAGGCTCTAACCTTTAAACTACAGGGTGTGTGTAATAAACGTCAGTAAGTTAAGGATCATTTAAGTGCAGTATATTCCGAAATACTTGAAGTTAATGTAACTTAAGATATACGGTGTTATGTTGGGATAATTATGGAGTACATTCTTAGTCGTATACTCAAGTTTGCTACTAGATAGTGGTGCCAGACTGTCTTGTAAGAAAATCGCGTCAATTCACATTGTTAAACAAATATTGTGATCTATTCTTAAAACATTAGTCTTAGAGCTTTACATGTTTTCAAACGCAGAACAAATATTCCATTATTTTTGTTTCGTATCGTGAATTAGTCAAAAATATTACACAGCTTATAAAATTCCTTCAAATATCTGAATATCGAGCCAAAAATAAAACAGGCCGGCAATAAATGAGTCATTACTAAAAAACAAACATACATATTTGAAAAAAGAATTCGAATCAATCAATCAACGTGAGTCCACAATAGACGTTTCTATCGTTCATAAGCCGAATCAAGATGGCGGAAAGCGTTTAAGAAACGATAAATTAAAGAAATAACCTTTACAAAAATTTCCCGGACATTTTCTATATCAGTATAAGAGGAGGATGAGTCAAAAAACAAAATATTTAACGTGAAATTTACGAGGTCACAGTGAATTAATTAAGAAGTTGAAATATTATGTTGTCAATGTATCCGATCGAGGGTAATGCACGTTTGGGAAATGTTACAACGTATTTTGACATGTTTTGAGTTTCGTGAACGAAAACATGCTACAACATGACCATTGACTTTCCCCAAGGGATGCGTTGGAGATTATATTTGCTTTTAATTTGGTTTTTAATTATTATTAGGTAGTGTTGCGTAACATTTATTAAGGTCACGACTGTTTAGAAGGATGTTTCGAAATCAACATAATATTTTCGATTATAAATTCAATTTATAAGATTATTCAAAGTAACTTTAATATGAAGCGACATTGCCTACTTTACTGAGAACAATATTAGTCATTGTTAATACTGAAACAAGATTTAATGACATACTAAAATGATTATTGATGAACATAAAATTAACTAGCTTATTGTTCACATAAAACACAACATTATACCTAATTCTATTATTTCGTGAAGAAAACACTTAGCACACGTCTTTATTTGTGAGAATACATAAAATAATTAATAATATCCTAGGCCATAATTCATTTATGTTTCATTGCACCATCGTTTTCGGTGACGGGAGAGCTTAACATGGTATAACCCTGCATTAGATGACGGTGGTGCCATTTAATACACTACTGTTAGACGACTAAAATCACCTAAATGAACGTCACTAGTTTTTTGTTTTTCTTCTTCTTTGGCAACCGAGTCTCCAATACGATGTTGTCGATTAGTTTTATTTGTGTTATCGGCAGCACTAGCCATCATGTTGACATTGTCATCTGTCAAATGTGACAGATTAGTACCTAAATTTTCCCGCGCAAAGAGTTGTAACGTCCATTCGGATTGGAAGTTTGAACGACCATTCTGCACACAGCTTCATAAAATAATCTGTTTTAGAATAAACTTTTCAGTGTTCTAATTTCATATTTATTACATATTCTGATTGGAAATCGCTGTTTGAAAGTTTCAGGTTTACCACAGAGCATGCACTGTTACCCAGTCTCTGTCAAATAAGGTCGAAAGAGCAGCTGTGGTGACAGGTACAAAATATATTCTACTCTGACGTTAGTTGCACCAAACCAGAGCAGCAGTCATACAGTATAACATATAAAGTTGCTTCCTATAATTATAACGTCTTGCAGTGCAGCGCGGGTCGTTGCCACGGTATAAATTTAAACATTAAAATAAACAAACATATAAAATAACTCACATTTGATTCACTGCCTGCATCGCTTTCGTAAAAAGGGGGTTGAAGTTTTTATTTTGTGTTAATTACTTATATTTTTTATGAAGGTACGTTTTAGTATAATGGTGGTAATGCATTAAGAACTGCGTAAGTAATAATAATATGTGATAGTATAAGATCGTGTGGTATGTAAAATATGACGTTTCATTTTTGCCAATATAATGTAAAAAGAACATGACGTCACATCTTTTAATTGTATAAGGTAGGGTATGTTAGGTAGGGTATAAGGTAGGGTATAAGGTAGGGTATGGTATAAATGTTCGAAAATTAAAAACATCCCAATGACTCTTTATCCAATCCGGGAGTTGAAATTTTTGCCCAAAGTGCATTTTGTCTGTTTTTCTTCTAGAACAACCACGGTGGTATTGTGTTGCAATCCATTTTCATGTCGACACATAGTTGAGAGTAGGTCAGGTTTACAAAAGACTAAACTAAAATTGGAACGTCTACAGTTTATGATATTAAACATGGCGGGAATGTAGTTATTTTGACTATGGTTTTTCTTACGTTTTTAATAAAGAAGAAAAACTGTTGGTTGTGCTTTAAGAAAATGTAATATTTTTGTTCATTAACAAGCCTTTATGCATTTCTTAATTTTTGCTTATTCTAGTAGTATTTCGTGTTTTTTTAAGTAATTAGGTAAATTATGGCTCGATATTACTTTTTAAAAAGCTTACTGCTAATTACCTATAGAAATTTTGGTATTGTCATTACTCCAGCAGCAGACTGTTACTGGCTGATTATGGCAGATAACAGAGATCTAGTAATGAAAACTAATAAAGGTTTACAAATTAAAATGCAAAACAAAAAAAAAATAACAGATTTTCTTTCCTTTCTATCCCAAACTACTACATTTTTGACTACACATACATACATACAACACATTTTTCCCCACAAACCCAACACACAATAACCCTTTGATAAACTCTGGTTAATGTTAAAATCCTCGGCATCACATAACACGTGGCATGCGCCATAGATTATAAAACCCGAGGGGCAAACTCAACAATATTTTAAATATGGATACATCAACTTTTTAATACGGAACTTTTTTAAATTCTAAATCGGTTTTCAACAATCCTTTTTGGTATGATTTATTTATTTCGAAGGGTGAAAGGATTGGGGCACATAATTGTTTTACTATAAATAGAATAGAGTAAATTCTTTAGTTTTTTCTTTTGTTTTTTTTTTGTCACTGGTGAATGAACGATGGTGTTTGAGTATTGATTTATTGATGTGTAATAGTCACCTTTTAGATAATGAAGAGATTTCAGTTTTTATGTGTTAAGTTAGTGAGTGCATCTCTGCCTACTCTTCAAGGATAACAGGTGATGTTATGTTATGAATAGTACCTAAGTGCGTTATTAGCCGTTTTCTCCGGTAACCTCAAACTTTGGTTTTATGTGTAGCCTGTAGCCTCTCGAACTGACCCTTTCGTGGTAATGTTTAGAACTCACCGACTTTGAATTAAGTCCAGAAAACAATTTTACCCAAAAGACTCCATTACGTTTTTGCTTTCAACGTTAAAATACTATAACGTAGTTAATAGAACAAAAGTTTATTTACAATATTTAGAATGGAAAGGGACAAAAAATATAAACGTAGACGTGCGTTCATAAAACAAATAATTACATAACGCCAGCACCAGATGTCGCGGGCGGCGGTTTTTTTTTTCTTAATTCATGTTAGTAAACATAGTTTAACGAGTTTGTATAGGATGATGCTTTTAATACGAGGTTTTAAGAGGTGTGTGTACATCTCCAACGAAAAATTCAGTGATGATATTTTATTAATTAATTTTTATTTAAACTGTCAAACACCAAGCGGTCACCGGTGACCGCAACCTATTGTTCTATAATTGTGTCTACAAAACCGGTACTCGACGAGTTAATTAAACATGTACTTTTATTGTTTCATTTTTATTTTCTTTAACTCGTCGAGTACCGGTTTTGCAGACACAATTATAGAACAATAGGTTGCGGTCACCGGTGACCGCTTGGTGTTTGACAGTTTAATACAAAATAAATCATTTCAAACTTCACACTTTTGGATCCTCGCCATGTTAAATACAACACTTTCTTCTAATATTACATACAGAAAGGTTTCGTTTAATTTCATTAAAGCTTATAATTTTATTATTTGATTAGAAGTCCTCTTCACTTGTACTAAAACTATTTACTTGTTGCATTTTTTTGTCCAACAGTCCGTTAACAAGGGAAAACCACATATGTGTCATCATTAAATTCCTTTCTAATCAGCTATTGACTATTTATAAGGCTAATCATTATGTACAATGCACAGTTAGTCTTTAAGCACCACACTACAAATTAACCCAGTCAATAC